ACAAGCAATTCTATACAACAAACGAATCATGGGAGACAGGAGGGGCAGCAAAGTGGGAAAAGAAATGTTGGAGACGGTGGAGAGTGAAGGCTAATACTCTGGCTCGGCTTATTTGATTCCGAAAGGGAGGAGCAGCGACCTTCAAGTGGAGATCTGGGCGGAGGAGGGAGGTTGGCGGTGGCTGCAGTTCATTCTGAGCTCGTCGCGGCTGTTTCGAGGCTCGGGCCTGATAGAGAAACTGCTAGGGCGAACAATATGTCTATTCTCTGTGAGGAACCCATTTGAATATGCTTTAAAATTTTCTTATCACGCCTTAAAATATTCATGACATGATAGAATACTCTCATTCAACAAAGCCATTGACAGAAACGAGTCATGAGGAAATTAATTACCATATTTATTGATTTTTAAAAAATAATTAAAACGGAATTTAAAGCCAAAATAGTAATAAAAAGAAGAAAAAAAGAAGAAGAACTGGTCCTTATTTAATGCCAATCGCATCCAAAATTTCAATTGTGACATGACCATATGAAACCGGTGTTATTACGATGAATAAATCGATGCTCAGAAGTTTAGTCATTTCAATAGTCATCTAATCACAAGTCACAACCCATAAACATGGTTTTCAACAGTCACATCCTATAATTATTATTTTAGCAATCGCATCCAACCAAAATAAATTTACCAGCTATAGTTTTCTTCAAAGTTATTTATGTTTAATAAAAAAGAAAACAACATTTATTTATGTTTAATAAAAAAGAAAACAACATTTATTTACCCACTTGCATACATCCTTGTCGGCAAGGTGTCTACATTGCTTGCTTTTAAGATGTCGCTGATATTTTATTTCGCATGAATCGAATCGAACAACTAGCCTCAGCACATGATTAATTAGTTGTAGGCTTGTAGTAGTAGTAAAGACAAAAGTGATGAAAGAGGATACGATTTCAATAATTTTACAAATTAGTATCTTTAATATGCGGTCATGTGTATAACAGTATAATTGTATAAGAAACCTCATGGTTTGGTGGCACTAAGAACTGTTGGCACGCAAACCCTAGTTTAGCGATATCATTGCAATTGTCTTGTTCTTGCCCAAAGTTTTTGTATCTTTAGCAAACATTTTAGTAGTCTGTTTTGTATTCAAAATCACTAGAATTAATAAACTTGGAATAGAAAAGTAAATATGCAAAAATGCACATTAGTTTCAAATAAATAATGTAACGCACAAAAATAATAATTGCATAGACAAACTTAATTATAAATACAATTATATACGGCTACTGTATTTTCTAATCATTTGCTTAACTTTTGAGATATTTTGTTACCGATTCTATATTTTGTTTGTTGGAATTTATTTTTGATAAATAGCTTAAGCTAATTTCCGGCGACATTTTTGATAAACACAATTATGAAAATAATTGGATTATGGATTTTTTAAATTTTTTGCAATAAGCACTATAAGATAATGTATCTATTTGTTAAAAATGAAATTGATTTAAATGAAATTTTTTTGGTCAAAGTAGACATGTAATCAAGACAAAAAATCAACAAATATCAAGATGAGCATTTGTCTCATATCGAAAGTTGGAAAAATTTTCCACTAGTATATATAGTAATACACTTTCAACAAGGTTCAATAGCTTTGAAAAGAGGACATTATGGAGAAAGAAAGAAATGATTGTTATGCAAAACCACAAGCACGTATCATGCCGAGCCAGGCTGGGCTTGGACTTGGGCTTAGCCTTGGTGAATATGGGCTTTAGCCTACAAAAGATAATTTTTTGGAATAAATACTTATTAGTCTATTTTCATAAATATGTTAATATTTCTCAAAGATATTTTGCTTAATAATATTTTGTCTTGCCATTACACTTATCGAACAAAGAATAATTAATTTCAAAATATTTCCAATACGTATATCCTTTTGCGATAAGAAAAAAAAAATTTGGAATATTTTTGTTTATCTAAGAGTGACGGCCAAGGCAAATCCTTACGCCATAATCCTTTTTTTCGCTATATATATTTGCTTCTCTTATTCATTATTCATCATCATCGAAACACATAGTTTTCGAAAACACAAATATCCAGTAAATCTCTCTCGTCTCTACAGTCGTAGGTAAGTCTTGGGAGTATAGCGTAGTTTCTAAGTTCGCTGATTCTATAGTCGGATGCTGTGACTTTAGTCTCAACATAGTTGTATCCTAAGATTCTGAATCTTTTCAAACCGCCACACTACAAAAAATTTATAGAATTAAAAAAAGAAATCATATCTTGACTCCATATATCATATTTCCTTAAAAGTTTTATTAAAACATTTTTACAGTTTACATTAATCGTTTTTGGTTTTGTGATTTTAATCCAGATTTTCGTGGTCCTACACATTTTACAAAGACTTCACTAATTCGATTGGTAAAATACCTACTGCTTCGAGATATTTTTAATTAGATAGCAATAATCATTTTAAAGAATCACTTATGGTAAAGAATAACTTTCACACTTAAAAATATTTGAACTTTATTTTTCATAATTAAAGTTGATTTTACTTATTTCAGGTATGGCAAGAATAATAATAATATTGAACTAGCTAATTTATATAATCGATTGCGAACAAAAAACATAAAGCACCAGATTACAAATTATGTAAATAATCGACTTCACCAGCATATAGTATAAGATTTTCTTGTTTACCATCTGTCAGAAGCGACAAAAAAGTAGATAGAAATAAACAAATGTATTTAATACAAGTCAATCATAAACGCTTACGAAACAAATCATTTACTCTTAAGTTAATCTTGGTAGAATTAAAATATGATTTTAGGTAAACTTCAATAAGGTATAATGAATTTTCAGTTTCACGTAATGTAAAGGAAAATTGTCGATACATACGTACAGTATTTAAGTAAGGACCACGATACGAGAAATAAAGAAAAAGAAACAAAGAATATACACAAGTTGTTAGAAGAAAAAAAAGGGCGAGAGAATCACATGTTACTCATGCTCGGAATGGGACGATGAAAGATAAGGAGGACACCGTTGGTTCTTCCTGAATCACACATGTAAGAGAGATATATCAGAAAAAAATGGATATATATGATATGAAGCCATTTAATCTTCTTTTGATTGGCTTTAATAAAATGATTTGTTTAGGTTTTGAGTCAACCCCAGCCGTTTGATCACTGACCCACACTCTTTATTGACCAATGTGAAGGACAATGCCGTCCAACAGAGAGAGTTTGATCACAATTCGCATGTTTTAGATTTATCCTATTCACTTGCGCATGGTTTCTCGATCTCCGGTTCGGATATTCTCTTTCAGTCTTGCTACTATTTTTTAAATAATCGGAATATCCAAATGCTAAAAGAAATAAATGAAAAATACGACAACTACTAATCTATAAAAGTACAATTAAGTATTTGGTTTGTAGAAATATTGTGGTAATTGAGTTTATTTGAGTTCAAAGTGTTTTTTGCTTTTGTTTTTTTTTGTCAACAACTTCAGTTTTTAGAACAGTTCAGTGACTCAAACTGGTGAAATTAAATTTACATAATCTAAATGATAAAAGTTCTGAACACTTTGTGCCACTTGTTTGCTTTTACATTATCTGCACATAGAATATATGAGATTAGAAAGACATCAAACTCTATCCTACTTGTCTTATATTCCTTTAAATATAATGAAAAAGCCAGCCACTCTTTTGGTTTAGCTATCATTTTTACCAATTCAGAGCAGTCTATGATAAAAGCCATTGTTAATATCTTAACATGTAACATACAATGCATTGCTTATATTAATGAGATATTATTGGTTTTATATTTTAATAAATTTGAGAATTCAAATCAAATTTAGTGTTATTGGTTCTTATATTTTAAAATCTATATTGAAATATAGTGTTATTGATTCTATAATTTCAAAATCCATAATAAAATACAGTGTTATTGATTCTATAATTTTAAAATCTAAATATTATAAAAGTTGTATTTTTAATTGAATTTGAATGGATTTGAAAGGATTTTTATGACTAAAATACAAAAACTCAAATACAAAGTTTAATTTTGGTATTTGAGTGAATTTGTTTTTTTTTTCTTTTTACTAATTTAAAATCAACAATTTATCAAATTCAAAAAAAAAATTATAAATTCATTAAAATACAAGAACCAATAACTTTTACTAAGATTTTTAATTTTAATTCCAAATATAATAGCAAATTATTTTACCTTACATTTTTTTACTTCTATTAATGTTTTCACTAGACCTATTCCATTGCCCAACCTCTGTTAAGAGTCCTTTCTTTCCAAAAACTATCTATATAACATAGTTTGCCACCAACCTTTCAAATTATTATTATATGATCTTCATGATGGATATCCATCATGCTAATTCGCCACCCTGTGAAACATCTCATGGTAAATTTTTTGCCGTCACCATGCTAAGACTTCAAAGTTTTTTACAGTCATACATTTAGGTTTTAGTATTCATAATCTTGTTAGTTTTAGTATAAAATAATGTTTTTTTTAAAAAAACATCTTCTAGTATTGAAAATATTACTGATAAAATAATTTAATCTATTTTTTGTTATATAACTTAAAAATTCATACAAAAAATCATATATATGAAAGAAAATTTACACCAAATAATTATTCATATTTTAAAAAATTAAAATTCTTGGATCGAATATAATATTAATTTTTTTTTGTTAAAGGATTTATATAATATTAAATTTCAAATACTCATATGCGGATATGATAAATTTCAGAACATCTAAAACTGGATATGGGATTTGATGCTGAATTGCTCAAGCCTAATGATCTCCTTTAATATTCTACAACTGACGGCAGGTTTATGAAATTAAAAAATAATGTTTGTACGTAGAGCCGTAACCCGGGTTATATAAACCAAAAAGCAGTACGTACCGGATTTAATTAAAAAGAAAAATAAAAAAGGTTAAAAATTCAACCGAAAACCTTCTCAGCCGGTACACCACTGCCATAAAAGGACCAACAACAATTCACATTAGAGAGAGAAAGAAAACGAAAAATGTTTAATTTTTATTATAAATTTTGATCGTCCTCTAAAAATGGTCTGAAATGTTCCCTCACACGTCTCCCTCCTCTTTCTCCCTATCTTCTCCAATAGAAAGAGAGAACCCGTTCACAATCCCTCGCCGGCGATAACATTTCTCCGGCGATGAGAATAAACTTCTCTTCCTCAATCCTTGCCGTAGTTTAAAAAAAATTCTCAGTCCAATGTCGCTAGACCGCACATAGCTTTGAAATCCCCTTTTCTTCTTCTTATACCTCTCTCTCTCTCTCACTCTCTTTTGTTGCCGTCGAACGATTCCGATCATCTCTCTTTCTCTCTGTTTCCTTTTCTCGAGCTCTTTCGTTTTCGTGTTCTGTTATTAGTTATAAGACGATCGCTCATAGTGATTCTGCTCAGTGGCTAGGTTTTTTTTTGAAATTGGTGAAAAATCAACTGATTGTTTCGAATTTTTTGGAGCTTAATCGTAACTTCGCCGTTTGAAAAAAAGATGCTGGATCTTAACCTCGACGCCGACTCTCCCGAGTCGACTCAGTACGGTGACTCATACGCAGATCGGCAGACATCAGACGGGTCAGGGAATCGGCTTGACGAGTCAGGGACGTCGACGTCGTCGGTAATCAATGCCGATGGAGACGACGACTCTTGCTCGGCTCGCGCCTTCACTCTGAGCTTCGATATATTAAAAGTCGGAAGCAGCAGCAGCGGCGGCGGCGGAGGAGATGAAAGCACAGCGTCTATCTCCGGCGTGACTAAGGAGTTTTTCCCGGTGGGTGGAGACTGTGGGCATCTACGAGATGTAGAAGGATCGAGCTCTAGAAGCTGGATCGATCTCTCTTTCGACAGCTCGAGCCTCGGAGAGACGAAATCGATGGCTCCGGCGCCTGCTCCGGTACCAGCTCCGGTGAAAAAGAGTCGGAGAGGGCCCAGGTCAAGAAGCTCACAGTACAGAGGAGTCACCTTCTACAGAAGAACTGGTCGATGGGAATCGCATATTTGGTAACGCCCCAAAATCGCTGATTCTTCAGATTCCACAGATTCAACTTTTGTCACCACTGGAAAAATTAATTCAAATCAAAACTCTTCTCTTTTGGTTTCTTAATCTTTTTGCAGGGATTGTGGGAAACAAGTCTATTTAGGTAAACAATTAAACTCCATGATTGTGTTGATAGAAACAAGTTTCTTGATTTCATTTTCTTTAAACTTTCTTCCTGTAGGTGGTTTTGACACTGCACATGCCGCAGCAAGGTAAATTTAAGATCATTTTCTTCAGAGTTTCGTTTTTGGATTAAGACGTGTAGATGACTAAACGTAAGTTTTCTTTGATTATATATATATGTAGAGCCTATGATCGAGCTGCTATCAAATTCAGAGGCGTTGATGCTGATATCAACTTCACTCTCGGCGATTACGAGGAAGACATGAAACAGGTTTTGTATCTACAAATTCAAATGTTGTGTGATCTTTCTTGTATGGAAAGATCTTTATTGAGTATTATCATCATCATCATCAACAGGTACAGAACCTGAGCAAGGAAGAGTTTGTGCACATACTCCGTCGTCAAAGCACAGGTTTCTCTCGCGGGAGTTCCAAGTATCGAGGCGTTACATTACACAAATGTGGGAGATGGGAAGCAAGGATGGGCCAGTTTCTTGGTAAAAAGTGAGTCTTTTGAATCTCTGAAGCCTTTTCTCTCTGTTTCAGTGTTTTCTTCTCTGAAAGATAGTTTTTGCTTAGAGGAATGGTGTCTCAGTAATGAACCCAAAAGTAGAAGAAAAAGAAAAAATGCTTTAAGCAATGGTGATTTAAGATGCTTGAATTGCAGGTATGTTTACCTTGGGCTGTTCGACAGCGAAGTAGAAGCTGCAAGGTCCTTAAAAATTGATCATGATTTTTACTTGTTTGCCATGAAACTTTGATAACTTAAGAACTTTTCTCATTAGTTTTCCAAATCCAACATTGGTTGTCTCTCTTTCTAAACAGTTTTCTTGAAAAAACAGGGCTTATGACAAAGCTGCGATCAACTCTAATGGTAGAGAAGCAGTGACCAACTTCGAGCTGAACGAGACTAATAATGAAGGTACGTCACGTTAGTCATTTGAATACTACTTCATCAATCTGTAAAAATCAGCTCTTCTGATTGTTTGTCTCTTCTGTATATGAAGGTGGTGGTCATGACAAACTTGATCTCAACTTGGGAATCTCTCTTTCTCCCGGAAACACACCAAAGCAGAACGGGAGGATCTTTCATTACCCTTCTAATACTTACGAAACGCAACGCGGAGTTAGCTTGACGGTAGCTTTCTCCAATACCAATCTCTCATGAATAATCGTTTTCGAAAGAAAAAAATAAAACTGTTTACTTATTGTCTTATTAAACAAAAAAACTGCAGATAGATAACGAGTTCATGGGAAAGCCAGTGATTACACCTCTTCCTTATGGATCCTCGGATCATCGAGCCTATTGGAATGGAGCATGCCCAAGTTACAATAATCCCATCGAGGTATAGTGAAGACGACCGAGACTAATATTACATGCTCTGGTTGTTTCGGGTCTGGATTTGCAATGAAACAATGTTGTTGTGCTTTTGGTTTTTGTAGGGAAGAGCAACAGAGAAGAGAAGTGAAGCTGAAGGAGGGATGATGATGAGTAGTAGTAGTAACTGGGGATGGCCTAAACCGGGACAGACGAGCGACATTAGACCGCAACCACCGGGCGGTGGCTTGCAACCACCGTTGTTCTCAGCAGCATCATCAGGATTCTCTCATTTCCGGCAACAACTTCCCAGTGACAATGCCTCTCGTGGTTACTTTTACCCACAACCTTAACTTAAAAAAGATTGGGACTTGAAAAAAAAAAAGTTTGGTATGAGAGTTTTTAAACCTCTCATTTAAGTCCTAAAAAAATTGTCATTTGGGTAAATTTACATACAATGTTAAAAAGGAAAATTCCTAATTGTGATGAGAAAAAAGAAAAGAAAAGAAAGAAGTGTCAATTTTCTTGTCAACTAAATGAGGAAAAAAAAAATAGTGTGTTGTGTGTTATTTGGTTTCTTTCGTAAAATTTGATATGCTTTTCTTTATCGTTTATGTGAAGATTGATGTTCTTGCTTGTATGGTAAGAAGAAAGACTCTTTGGACAATTTTGTGAAAATAATAAATAAATAAAATGGAGGAAAATTGGTGTTTTTTCATTTGTCGTTATGTGGTTTAATTATTTGATATTTAATGATACACTGTTTGAAAAGAACAGTAAAGAGAGAAAGTGATAGGGTGTGTGCAATTATAGCTGCCTCTTCGGAACCCCAAAGGATTCGGGGAAAAAAACATTAACATTCTAAATGTATACATTATTCGGATATAACTAAATGATTCTTATATTCTATAGTCACGTGTCAAATATAGTACTGAACTATTTACTATAGAGTCATGAAATTCCACATATGGTGGTTTTATGATCTATTGGAATAGAGTGGAATGCAATGGATGCTATATTATTTGTTTATAACTTCTTTGAAAAAATTCATGCTTTTTTTATAACAAGCTATGTGTGTATATATATTTTTCTTAACCTAGTAAAATCATCTAAGCAAATATTTTTTCTTAATTTATGATTTTAAAAACACTTATTTTTCTGCAAAAGTTTGGATATCTAACTACATAGTCCCTTTTTTAAAAAGAGGAACTAAAACGTTGGAACTACTTTTTCGAGCTACATTTATTTAAAAAGAAAATAAGTTTGTAATTTTGTATATAAGTCATCAAATTATTTAAAGATATTTGTGTAGTTGATATGCCAAATGTGAAGCTAAAAGCAAAATAAGAGATTCCCGATCTCTTGTTCTGTCAAATCAAATCTCAAAGTCTATCTCTACCGTTTCGGGGTTATGTAAATGATATATTCAGTAAGATGTGATGTCTTAAGAAACTAAATTATTATTATACATAATATTCCAAAAATGGTCCTTTCCTATGACTCGTATCCTATGCCTTTATCAGTAAACCTAAACTCACATGCCTCTTTAAACATTATCATTATCCTTCTTTTATAATAAAGTAGGATTACCACCATCTTTAGTCGACAGTTCTTTGAACAAATAATATTTTTATGATGAATGTATTCATGTGATTCGACATAACACAAAGGATTACCCTGTCCGAAATTTATTTAAGATATGCAAAGACATTCATAATCCAGGTTGACTTAGCTATGTTTGGGTTAAAAACTTAAAATTATTACTTAACATGATATACTGATATATCTTTTTAATTTAGGTGAACTGTGTGTTACGCTGAAATTTTCTTATTATTCGTAGATAATTAGGGTTTAGGTTTGGACACAGTTATTAATCTGATGAGCTGGATTTTTCAGAGATCAATTTCACCCATAAAATTAGTTGTGCTTGTCTATATTGTTTGTTGGCTGTGTTGGATTGGAACACTCTTTAAGCAGTTGGTGTCAAAAATCGAATCATTCAATATCTATATATATTTTCTGTTTTTTTTTTTTTTAATATTGATATTGATTTTAAGGTGATAGGGTGAGGTTTTACAAAAATCCAAATAACTTGATGAGTAATATCAGTTTTATTAATTACTATCTCGTGTTGCTTAGCTAATACAAATCGTGTAACAACAAACTTTTATTTTATTTTTATGGTTCTTTAGAATGGTGTTAGAGGTGCTTGGCTTCGATTTTGTAAAATTCCTAGCACTAATCTATTATTGTCCAAGCACACACTAGTAACATTTTTACCCCAAACCTATCATTTTTTGTACCTAACATATAACACTATACTGAATTTGAAGTTTTAAATATAATGTGTGGACATTTTTCTTTGCTTATGCAAACTGGAGCCATCTAAAAGTTATGGTTTTGTTTCTGCCGAATTAAAATACGAGTAATAACGACTATTTTCTGACGGGGTACCAAATACATTTATTATTATTATACAATACTATAAATTTTGACGATAACGAAACATTATACTATATATATATTTTGTTTGGAATTACGTAGGGTATATATAGAGTTTAGTCAGCAGGAAGAAGGCAACAAAGGCATAAAAGCAAATAAATACCAATGATGACCTACATTGTCGGAGAATCCTTAATATAAACAATTGTATTTTTTTAGTGGCACAAAATGAGACAACGTGAGACGATTGGGAAACATTATGGGTCCAATCCTTAAAATAAATGTAAAATTATTTTATAACCGAATCAAAAGAAAAGTCTTCTTTAATTCATAATATCTGCACTTAGATATACAAGATTTAGTTGGTACAACATCTGACCTTCTCATGGGTACACACACAACACACATCTCAATTAGTATTAGTATTATTAATAAATTGCTAGTCCTATGTTTTGCCACAACACAAAAGCTAACTAGTGTTATTAAATTAGTGATTTCTTTAACTTTTTTTTTATAAGTCAACTAATGGCTTTTAAATACCAGTTGAAATTTTTAGTGTTATTCATTGTGGTTTTGACATGTAATAATATGATTTAACAAATTTTCAAAAAAATTCTCTCAACAAGAAGACAAAATCTTACCTCATAGTTGAAAATCATATTTGACATCATATTTGAAAACCAAAGAAAATGTTAAAAAAGAAATGTATAATAAAACCAATAAAACCTTCCTAAAGCATTTTTTACAACCACCTCTCTTTTGGCTCAGTTTCTTAAGTAACAAGAAGCTAAGATTCAAGGTCAAGGCGATCTAAGCCCATCTCTGCCAAGCTCACTAAATCCTGAACGTCCCATTGTAACCATTCATCCGATTTGTTGATCCAATGAGTCTCTCGTTTTGGAGTCTGTTCCTGCTTTGGATCTCATTACTCAAACCATCCCAGTGACCATTAGGCAAAGTAGCTAAGTTCCTAGAGAGCATGTTACTTCCTTGAGATTGTTCCATTAGCCTTGATGCCATTCCCAAAGAATCGGTAAATCTACAGTTTTGATGCGAAGAAGACAAAGGGCTCTGCATTACCATTTGTTGCTGTTGCTGTTGTTGTTGAAGCTTTGCAAACATGTTTGTATTTCCTTGAAAGTTTGATCTGTAATCTAGGCTCGGATTCTCAAAGCCATGACCAACGGCCAAAATCGCAGGATCCATCTGTTGAACATCTCTGACACCACCGGTGTTTTCAACCGGAAGTGACTGATATGGATTACCGAACATTGTTGAATCAGAGAAACGATGGTTTCCTACAAGAAACAAGAACAAGATTCTCAATGTATCTAGAGTTACATATCATATTAAAGACCAAACAATAAGAGAGGAACTTCAACGTCAACTATAAACTACCTGAAAACCCATTAAATGCTTGATGTTCTCTTCCATTCGACGCAAAGCCTGGAGGAGGAGGAGGTCGACTTGCAACTGAAAATCCAGGTGGTGCTGAAACCGGACATCTTGGAATAGCTACAAGATAATAAACCAAAGGAGATTAAGATTTACACAAATGCTCAATAAGATGCAGGCACGCATGCTTCTGAAACAAACCCAAAGAGTGGATATATGCCAAAACAAAAGAGCCATTATCTTCAATTTCAACACTTAAAACTGACGCTAGATGTTATAAATAGTAATCTGGAGAGTGATTAAAATCAATATTAACGACCATCAACTAGAAATATGACCAGTTTGGTGACAGTATAGGTAAGCATGAAATGAAAACTATAATATGAATAACTAGAATGCTAGATGCTTAAGTGTAAAAGGATGAGAAATCACACTCACAAGGAGGCTTATAAGACGAGGGCAAGGTTGAGTTTTGCCTGGCATAATCTGTTCCCTCGAGATAACTGGATGAACGACCATTATTATACATCCCAAGCATATTCATATCAAGACCCTGCCTTTCTGAAGAATTCTGGTAGAAGTCACTGCCATGTGGTGTCTGGTGGAAGCCGTTGTAAGATGGTTCAAAAGCTTGGTCCTTTAATTCCTCTTGCCTTGCAAAAGAAAACCGGGACTGATTAACTTCACTGGAACTGGCTAGCTTATCAACTGGCCCTGGTAGCTTCGGCACGTTCTGAGATGAAGTTAAGTATTCATCAAGATCTAAAGACATTATATTTGCAAGTATCCTGTCATCTATTTCGCTCCTAGAGTTTCCCTGTGGCTGTGAGTTAACGGAACATTTTCCATTTGGTTGCGTCTCCCTCGCTCTGTCAGGAAACAACATAGAATGATTAAGACCGCCGTTTAAACGAGTGGGCTCGCCATGTGGCATCTCGTTATATCCATGAGAGATGGGTGCTATATTACTTCCTCTGCTGTCAGAAGATGAGGATCCAAACACACTCCTGCTTTCATCAGCCTTATACTGGGATGAAGAAGGCTGCATACCATTTGATGACGTGCGTAGGAAACCACCTTTATTGGCCACATTGGGCTGACAGCTAAAAAATTCTGGGTCCTTGAGTCTTTGCCTAATGAACGATGATAAATCATCCTCGGGTTCATGATGTCGATCTGTTACTAATGGAGATATCAAAGCAGTACCTCCGTTAGCTTCCTCTCTCAAGGTAACAGTCTCATTTGCCTTAGTTCTACTGCCACACTTCTGTAATGGCTGAACTTCTCTAGTTTCATTGACACAATGCTGTAGAGAGTTTCGGGACACTTCTGGATGAGACGACTTTAAGGAACCGTGATCAACATGTGAACTGTCAGATCTTGTTACCCCATCTGTGCCATCCACAACACTATCTGCATCCACTGACACAGCGTCGCTGCTTACGCTCTCTATGCTTCTAGTAATCTTTTTGTTTCCATTGGACATCATGGATCTACAAGACTGAGAAGTATGTTCTGGAATTTCTGTGCAATCTGATGGCACACTAACAGCTCTACTACTCGCCACGCTTGCAGGTACTACAGGCTTACTATTACTGGACTGGGTCTTATTGAACAAGGAAAGCTCCGGAAAATCAGTCTGACTATCCAATAGATCATGCAGTTTCACGGCATTTTCATGTGAAGTATTATTATCATCTACTGCTGGCTTCTTTAATACATCACTATCAGATGAATTTGATGAAACTGTGACAGCTTTGTCTCTTAGTTCCCCAGAATTTGGTGTATTCGGAATTGAAGACTGGCCTGAAGAATGCATTCCCCTGAAAAACCAGTTACAAGTTTCAGACAAACCAGTACACAGTTGGGGGAAAAAAAAAATCTATACACAAGAACTCAGTGTACCACAAGGCTCCAGCAGGAAGAGTAACAGAACGGCCGTGGCTACTATTTGGGGGAGAAATTTTAGCGACACTATATCCATTCTGTAAAGGAAACAAAGAAGAAGCCAAATACAGAATGAAGCACACATAAACGCATCTGCTGACAGCAGAAGGAATTTCAAAAGGCTCATTATCAACTTACATTGAAAACACTTTTTGGAATTTGTCTTGAACTAGACTCATTATCAACATATTCATCGACCGGTGGAGGTAACATGCTCCCTGAACGCCGCGGAAAACTACCCACCGGACCAGTAATTTGTTGAACAATTTTCCTTTTCAAAAAACAAGAGAATCTTATATAAACACCTTTTCAAACAAAGAACTGATGCAAAATGAAAACCAGATAGTGAACAAGTTCACATCTGGATCTAGTGAGGTCATTCAAAAGATACACTAAGAGATTTACCATCATCACCAAAGAAAAACAAAAAATCAACCACAATCTATTGAGCTTAACTGAAACGGCAAAGCGATTTCAGGATCATTGAAGTTAGTTTACCTCATGTGCTCTGATATGGTCTCATCTTTTGGGAAACTATCCTCTTGGGCACCAATTTCATGCAAATAAAGGCATTCTGCATTGGTACAAGGCTGCAGAAACAAAAAGACATCCGCGAAACACAATTAGATTTATATGCAAGTTTTTTAGAGGGAACTAGTGAGCGCAAGAAATATATCTGCTTACCATGTTTCTTAACCACGCATGACAATACTTCATGGTCCCAAAACATGCCCTAATGACATCCATAAATTATTAGAAACTGAACCACACCCTACCATAACTATAATCTTGAAAATAAAAAAGAATCACATCACATACTTCAAAGGTCTACCATCCAAAATAAATGCATGTACTGATCGGATACATCGAATTGCTTCCTCCTCTTTGGAGTAAGTAATATATCTGGGGGAAACATCGATTTTGGAGACAAAAAAAGAAAACAAGATGTTAGCTCAATGAAGATGGTTAAAAGCAAACATGTCTAATAGACCTCAGAAGAAAGGAACCACAGATATTAGTTCATCAACATATGGAATGTGCAAGGATACATACACACTGCAAGTATTGTTTGTAAATTGTTGGACAGCCCCAGACGCAGTTCGAGACATTGCTACCTTTACGACTTTCCCATATTGACCAAAGTATTCTCTACGCTGACAAAGCTGCATACATAATAACAAACCCCACATTAGTGAGATGAAAAAAAAGAAGAGAAAATGTGAGTGTCAAGGAGATAAGTTTGGCTGGTAGAGTTACATCTTCATCTGCCAGTTCAAGAGGCAAGCTCATAACGTAAACCAAGTTTCTCTGGATGACTCTCATGCCGGTTAGTTCTTTCCTTCCCTCGGAAGGTTTAGCCTTCACCTTCTGTGTTTTTTTCTGGTCATTGTTGAGTTCAACTGTCATTCCAACAATCTTTTCCTTATCATAACGGGTTCGGCATGCAGGACAGCGACCCTCTGTCTTTTCTTTCTCGGCCATCTCAATAATCTGATGCCAACACCAAACACATATCTGCATCAAGGACAAATATTTACATATAAGAGTGATAAATTACAGATCACCACAGTGGCAGAGTAAATGAATCAAACATAAATGAACATATAACAAAATTGATATAAGACTAAAGATTTGTTCCTTTTTCAGCAGAGGATTATTTTTTGTTTTACTGATATATTTATTGCATTAAGTTAAACGAGAAGTTACATAAACAGTACACAAACTAGGAGATAGCCAAGGAGGAGGATGGATACAACTTAAGTAGTATCATGTATTCAGAGGACCCTGTCTATGCCATACTTATAATGACTCTTTGGTGCTCAAACTCACACAATATGTTGTGAAGAAGAACTTTCTCATAGCAATTTTGGTTTCAGATGCACAACAAGAACCCAAAACAATTACATGAAACAAAACAAGAGGAAGTGGTTGTGTTGAATCGAACCTGATATCCACATTTGCAAGGTTTGAGTTGTTGATCAGTCAAGTCCATCTCCTCAGCACACAGAGGACAAGTTTTCTCTCCTTTGTCAGTCATCGTTACCTAATTATTTTAATATATATATAAAAAAAAGATTAACAAACCATGCATCATTAGATCAGAACATATTCCACAATTCTTCAAATATAAAGAGTTTATATAAGCAAATATACTGCAACTAGACCAGTCGTACTACTTAAAACTTCTCATTACCCAAAAAGACGGTGAAAACAAATCTCAAACAAAAGCCAAAGCCAAGAAAACTTAAAATCCCCAAATCAAAGAGCAGTTTTTTGTTAAAAGGGAAAACCTTTCAAACTCTCAAGCCTTAAATATGAAAGATTTTTCGCAATGCAAAATCTTTTACCACGGAGCAAGAGAAACAAAATGTACAAGAATCATAATTCACAAAAAGGAGTAGAAATCGTAAGGTTCTATAGCGAAAAACGCGAAATTTGACGGGGAATTTCAAGCCGCGAGTTCCGAATCAACGAACAAAAACCCTAATTTCCCGCGTTAGGGTTTGAAACACACGGTTTCGAGGACGAATAGATACGAGAGAGGGAGATGACACTTACGGTTTTCGGGAAGGGAAGGAGATGAGATTTGCAGAAAATCGACGACGAATGAGATATTGCGGAAGGAGAAGGAACAAAAAAAATTGCTGCGATGTATGTTTAGTGGCTAAACCTTTGGCCAATGGCTGGTGTTTTTCAGAGGTAAAATTGAATTGGGGAATTAATACCCTACCCAGAAGCAGATAATAAAGAAGAAGACCTAATTTTATTTCTCAAGTTTTTATTTTTGACGGCTATTTATTTTTCATGTTAAGTTAGATAGATAGATACATGTATATATATACTGCGAGTAAATTTCTAGGTTTTTTTTTTACCACTCCATTCATTTGGTGTACTAAAATTTAAATTGAATAAAAATGTCATTCAGTCCGGTGAAGGTTTGGTTATATAACTCTTAAATAAATTTTCGTTTCAACCGGTTTTTCATGGAGACGGTTTGTTCGGATTAATGGAAAGTAAATTCAAATTGGTTCACTTTGTATATCGATAAGTTCAATTTGACCTTTTAATGATAACCAGTGGTTCAAAAGTCTTCAGACTTTGTGGTGGAAAATGGATAAAATCCGTGAAATTAGTGGGTTTAAATATTTAAACTTATCTAACCTATATATTTTCTATTAGGGATCAATCTAACAAGAACAGAATATTAACAGATAAATATATTTTATGAACCCAAAAAAAAGAAATTTATTAATGAATCAAGCCAAAATAAGTTGGTTCATACCACATGCAACTAGTAATTAGTTAAGGATGTCTTCCAATGTTATAGTAATAGTCAACAGTCCATGAGTGGAGTCGACTTGTATAGTTCGGTCCTAATTCTTTCTGATTTATTTAGGAATAACCGCAAAATAATCCATACGTCGCAATCTAAGGTTTTGTTCTCTCTCTCTCTTTTTCTGGTCAAACGCAATCTAATAACTACCATGATTTGAAAGTCAACAAAACCTTCAATTACTACCATTATTTCATTGTTTTACTTTTTACACACTTCTTACAATCTCCTAAACTCGGCGTCGTTTCATCCAAACATATGTATCTCTGTTTATATTAAAAGGGTAAATGATTGCCAATATAAACTTCCATTAATTTCTCACCTCCAAAAATCCATGACAGGGATATATGTATGATTTAAAAAATAAAGATAAAAAGCTCAAAAAGTGATCTAAACTTGTTCTGCTTTTAGGGGAAAACAATGACATTCACCACTTTTGACATTAACTACAAATACCAAAATATTAAAGATTCGGTTAAACAGGTTAAAAAAAAACAAAAAAAAAGACGAAAAGCAAAGGGAGTTACCGTATAATGTGTTTTAGGAGGGTTTTTGCAAAAAAAAGCCAATTTTTTTCTTCTATATATCCTTTTTTTGTGGATAATAATAATTGGAGGGGGAAAGTGGGATGTGCAAATGGCTGGAGGATTTTAGGGTTTATCTTTTTTTATTTATTTATTCATCGTCATCTGAGATTAAAGCAAAGGAGAAAGGCTTGAACTTGTAACCATCTCCATGAAAGAACTTGCCCATGAATTCAACCCAGTGAAGACGCAGAGCATGTAGAAACGCACTTAGCGTTTCCATCATCAGTAGTATAAACGCCGTTGCAAACGCAAACACAGCTACTCCGATTAACCGGATCAAAATGTTGTCATACCTGAATTCCAAATAATTTCACAAGTAAATTAACATTTCAAAAAAAACATTGTAACTAAAACTCTATATATGCTACTTACCCCCAAGCGAGAAGAAGAACTTTCTCATAGAAGACCGTTGACAATTCCGAATGAGCCAAACTGTAAAAGTCAAAATACTCTATTAGAAACAGAGAGAAAGCATTAAATGGTTCATTTGTAAAAAAGAAGAAGAATAAGAAGAAGAAGAAGAAGAAGATACCTAAGAGCCCAGAGACGAAGGTAAGATGCTGTGTTAGAAACCGAACCTAGAACAAACTCTATGGAGTGAATCAATTGATGTACAAAAATCTCGCTGAAGTTAAACTCTTCTTCTTGATGGCCTCTCGCCGAGTCTGGTTCTACATCCAGATCCACCTCAGAAGTACCAAGAACGCCATAAGTGCGACCTTGAAACCTCTATCAAAAATCAATTTCATTCACACCTTGATAAGCCAGAGAGCCCAAAAAAAAAAAACAGTAAATAAAAAAAGATGCAGTGAAAAGATACCTACCTCCATGTGAATTTTCCTGAGGGCAAAGGGTTTTGGAAAAAGCATCCATGGAACGGCAATGAATGCCATAAGCAATAACAGAATCTGCGGAAGAGTGTCGAGATGAGTAAGGGATTGAACAAAGAATCAACGTAGCTTTGGATATTTATTAAAAAGAGGAAACTGTGCCTGAAGTGGACGTTGGCCCCAGAACAATTCATTTTCACCAAGTTCTTCTGTGGGACTCAGAAACATGTAGATCATGACGTGATACAGGTCAGCTTGAGATCCAGTGCACCACTTGATGATGATGAGTAGTGAAAGGTAACCGAACAGGCTGTTCAGAAATATCATCTGAGGTATAAACTGATACCTGGGGTGACACATCACAAAGACATAAGTGATCCTTGTGGTCTTAAAAAAACGAAGCTTGGGAAGATAACAATTAAATAGTAGAACATACCTAATGTCCAGTGAAGAGCTGAAGAAGCGAGCATTGAAGAAACTTAATATTAGTCCCAGATTCATCTGAGCAATTCCCAGAAGAATAGACATCTTCATCTTAAGAGAGTTTAGGTAAGGCAGTTCTGAACGACTTCCACGCCAACTAGGATCTACGCCAAAAGGGTATGGATCACGGTACTTGATTAAACCAACCGTGTAAGCATCGCTGGATGAAAAGTAAATAGGAAATATATCAGCAACAAGTGGAATAATAATGAAAAAAAAAAACATGACTCCTCACTAAAGAGAACAAGATTGGAACATAATACAGACCTACAAGTAGTATCTCTGCATTTGTAAGCTGAAGCACCAAAGATGTGGAAAGGAACAGAGAAGAACTCATTGTAGATGAGCCCACAGTATATTGAAAAAAGTGCCATTAGTAAGATTACATAACGGCCTCCAAAGAGCATCTCCATAAAGCTTCCAAGTTTCTGGCAAAGATAAGACACAGAAAAATCATACCACATCAGTAGAAATTTCAGAGAAGGCCTATGATATTACTCTACGAAAGTTAGCCTTTATCCTAGAGTGAGAAGGTAAACTAAGTGCGATTTGACATAGACATACATTTTACACCGATTCTAAATATAAATATCACTATCTCTCATTTGGAAAACAAAAAGCCGAAGGTACAAAAGTGCAGCATATCGCTGTGGTTCACTTCAAACCGAAGGTACAAAATCAATCTCTATCAGGTAGGCACTAAACAAAACTCGATGTTATGGACGCTTTATCCAATTTTAGTAGGAAACATCTCATGCTCAAAGCCAGTATCGTCACCTGATTCCTCACTAAACTAATACAACCAAATTTGGGAGCAAGCCATACCTGCGTACTCAGCTTTCTTTCACGAGCAAGAAGATACAACGCTCCAATCAGCAAGCATAGACCATGACCCCAATCCCCAAACATAACAGCAAACAAAAAGGGATATGTGACAACTGAATAAACCGCAGGGTTTGCCTCTTGATATCTTGCAACACTGCCAAGTAAGCATACATGAAATCAACAAATAGCTTGATTGAGATGATACAGAACGAATAAAGTTTGGCTTTGCTAGAAAGCATCTAAATGACGAGGCTTTTTCATGCTCGTGGAACATAAAAATAGTACCAGGTAATGCTCAAAAGTGGAACTTACCCGTAAGCATCAATAATCTCCTGGAACGCATTTGTGAGTTTGTTTGTTCTGAAATAGGTGGGAGGTGATTCTACCGCTTGCATTACATGAAATATAACGCCCACTTGTGAATTGCTGTCGAACGTGGCTCGCTGCAGGACCTCATGAATCTGCACATATGTTTTTGATGAATTGCACTTGCAAGGAAATATTAGTATAATATGTAAAAGGGGAAAAAAACGGTGTAGTATACCTGAGTCTTAGCAAATGTGGGGCACCAACCTTCGCCAACAAGACATTTCTTGGTTACATCAAAATTTAGCATGTTCAGAGTATCATAGACCGCTTTCTCTCTCCGAACCTAGCAGTAGAAGTCCAGCTAAAATCATGTCTTTTCCATAATGCATGGAGCATACAATCTTCCATATACTTAACCAGAAATAAAGTTAAAAAAAAACAAAGCAAAATAATTGCAGATGCTATTACTTACCGTGGTTATCCATTTAGCCAAGCTATAACCAACAGAATTAAGGGCACTATTCCGATGACGAGTTCCAGCATCTAGAGTGGCTTCCAGATCAGAGAGTCGGGACAAAACCTATACACCAGATACATTGATATTTAGGACAGTCATTAGCACTACTGATCAGGATAGTTAGACATATTGATATAGTAGAAATAAGTCAATAACTCAGTGTGTCCCAGCAACTAACAGTCGCATGTGATTGGGATACAGAAGTCAAAACAAAATCATATGAACAAGAAGAAATCAACTTGAAAGAATCGTTACAAACAAAAAACCATTCAAATATCTTGGAAAAGCTAGCTCTGACTGAATAAAGATAAAAAGAACGAGTTCTGGAATATCCAACTTACTTCTCTCGTAAGCTGCCTCTGCTTTGTTGTATCCTCGGGGACAGGATAGCAATTTGCACCAAATGCTTCACATATTTTCAATATTTTTGTCCGTGCTTGCTCCCCAGAAAAGAATACCACAAATACAATTTTCTCCACCTACGAGCACAAAACCAGTTAGTAAATAAGCATCTCACAGAAAAGCATGTGATTGTTATGGAGATGAGATTTTATGATGTGTGAGACGATAAGATATCAATATCACCATTTCTGATGTTGAAGGATCCATGATCTCCTCATCAGAGGGTGTTTGGTTGAAAAGCATATTGCCTCTTGTTGCACGAAACAGCATCCTTTCGAACCTAAGAAGTTTGTCTTTGTTAATAATTCCACTAATAAATCTCAATCCTGATTGATTCAAGGGTTCAGGCCTCAGTTCCTGTGAAGAAAATAATTGAAATTTTTGGTAAAGATAATTTTGAGATTCCGGATAACAACCGTAATATGGAAACTTTGACATGCAATCACCTGCTCCAGTAAAGAGGCACTCTCAATAAAACCGTTATTTGAGTAGGTGCTTTCATGTAGTTCTGTTTCGTCTCCAATTGCATGAGCATTACTTGAGACAAGGAAACCACTTGCCTAAAAAGAAGTAAAGTAGCAATATATTAGAAAGTTAAGCATAAACATTGGAAGATGAGCGCACATCTTACCAAATAAAAATTGGATGAAAACTTAACAACAGCTACTGTACTATATAACCATGAAATAAAAAAAACTTTCAGGTACTTTGGAGAGAGAAAACCAGAAAAACGAAACATTTCCCAATTACTAGATATAATTCTGAGAACTAAAGGCGAATACACCTACCTTTTGAAGAACTATCTTGAATTCAAGAAGTTCGTTATATGTCTGCCGAAGCTTTTCACTGTTTGAATTCATTTCCAGTACCTCATGCTCGTGATCAGCAAGTTGTCTCTGCCGAAGAAAGCAATATAAGATACAAAGACAACTACCAAGTGTCATAAAAAGTGTCATGCATCATCCTCCGATAAAAGAGGCAACCAAATAGATACCAAAGACTTCTCAGCAGAAAGAGAACTACAAAATTCACTTCTTACCTCTAAATCTCCAAGCTCAATGTCCGGTTCAATTTCATGGCGGGGTGAACACCTTAGACCAGCTTTATCAATTTGATCTTTGAAAAAACGCAGCTTCCTTGACATCTCACCACATCTTTTGACCTGTTAAAAAGTCCCAAAGAATTTGCATAAGCAAAGAATCTGTGTGCCCGAAGAATTTTCATCTCATAGCGCTTGATATCGAAAATAGATGTGGTTCGTGAGATTTAGTATCGTCATGTCAAACATATTTCAGTGCAGCCATCAAGTAGTGCCCAGCCCATATATATTCACTCATAGTCTCTAAGCGACATGCAACTCTTTCAACTATGGGGATAATTCAGCTTGAACACAAAAATAAAATTTATAAACTAAACTGTACAAAACAGTAGGATTATGTGGAAGAGAAAACATATGATTAAGGATCCAATATTTTAACGCCAGAGCAATATGTACGGTTACTCAATGATGGTAATCTGGCCTGGTAAACAAGATTAATGTATTAAAAACGACAAAAGATATCTACGATTATACTCTAAAAGTAAATGAACCCTTAAGAAGAAATCTTGGAAAATATTCTGAAACAAAGTTAAAAAGAGACACCATTAAGTTTATTGGTGACACTCATATGGAGATAAATTCTTCACGAGAGATCTTTGAATAATAATCATCAGTTTCTACAAAGTTTGTAGTGAGCCTTATATGTTTACATCTATCTCAAGCCACATGTTCCCACCACATCAAAAAAGTAGAAACTATCTGCATTGAATCATATACAACAGAGCTTGAAATGTAGTAGAATTGCAGAGAAAAACGTTGAGTTGATACCTGATTAGCAAATGTCCGCTGGAAAGGACTTTTATCGGCATTTAGCTGTTAAGGAAACGAAGATAGAGAGTATCAGCTTCTTCGAATTTACCACATCTCACTCATAATCCCAATTTAAACACCTTTAACTGCTCTTAATTCACTAAAACTTGAGGAGAAAAACCAATTTTCAACAAAAATGGAGATTCGATAATGCTAAATCCAAATATCAATCCACAAAACTGATTCAAGTTCCACAGAACATCAACAATTTTCAAAGATCATCACTAAGCATGTTCACTCGCGGTGGAAGTAACGCATCAGTCGAGAACGGATCAAAGATATATATTCTCCCCCTACATTGTGAGATCAACCAATCTCAGATTTCCACTGATTTCTAATCATCTAAACCCAGAATTACGAGACAAAAGCGACAGATTCGATCGATTTGGAAAAGAGAGGAAGGCGGATCTGAGTTCACAACACTCACGTCGCGGAACTGCAAGAGGCCGAGCTCGCCGAGATAAGTGACGGAACGGTGAGCGGACTCGACGGGGATGATAAGCTGGACGAGCGTCATCTTCTCCGACCGCATCAGATCCATCTCCGGCAACTTGTCTAAGAAATTATCCATCACTTCTTCTCCTCCTTTCGCTCCCTCACCTCACTCTCTGGAGAAACGAAAACAGAATGGAGAAAATTTGAGAATGATCTCCGATCAGATCTGAGTTTTTTTCCGTCGAAGATCTTAGAAGCGCAGTTCAGTTTTTGTTCCCGTCGACAACTGCCATGAGAAAACGAGGATTTGGCATCTCCAACGAAAATTAAAAGAAATTAAAAAAGTGTTTTTCCTTTGCTTGTCTTCGAGTAAAAGTCTAGCGGAAATTAATTTTTATCGGTTGTCAACAATTAACGATGTTAAGGAAACAAAAATTAATTAGCTTAATAACAATGCTAGATTGTATAACTAAGAGTGACATAGCGACATTTTTAATTAAGAGCATGACAAAGTGAATAGTTTGGGTGAAGAGTATTGTAATTTATGTAACTTCATCATCTTGGATTTTATGAAGATCGAGAGATTTTATATAACAATTAGTATATATGTAACTTCATCATCTTGGGCTTTATGAAGATCGAGAGATTTTATATAACAGTTATTTCATATACAATTAATCAAAATAATAAAATTTGGTATATATTACTCTACTCAAGGTTTAACAATTATTTTATATAAAGTTTTTATGAGGTTAGAAATTCTTTACTCTCTAAAGTCGTGTTAATTTATGACTATCTTAATATTCAGAAATTTTAATTTGTAACTGGTTCTCACTAGATTTTTTTTTTAAAGTTGAAATGTACATGCTGTATTTTAAATTGTGATTGAACCGACCCATATGTATATATATATATATATTTTTTATACTTTTTAGTTTTTTTCTTTGTCAACATTTTCTTTCTATAGTTCTAAAGAAAAAAAAACATTTTCTTTCTATGAATTTTAGTGGAATAACATTTTTTTGTAATTAAATATGATTATACACTGTTTGGAATGATTTATAAAGTAAATTTACCTGTATAATTGCGTATATTAGAAAGTATTTTACGATTGTGCAAAATTGCAAATAATCAATCAAACTTTAAAGGGGTGTATTGAATTAAGAATTTCAGAAGATTTGGTGGTTGTTTTAAAAATCTCTGTTATTGAATTAATAATTTTTAAATATCTCATAAAAATTGATGTTATTAAACATGAAATTTATGTAAAGTATCTAAAGTCATTTAAAAATCCATATTATTCAATCAATAATTTATAAAAGCTAAATCAAATCCACTGTTATTGGAAATATTTTAAATAGTGGATTTTAAAAAATATTGAATACTTTTAAATGATTTGGTGGAGTTTGTTAGTTAAAAATATAGAAACTCAAATCACATTGTTTTAGGTGGGATTTCATATAATTTGAATATCAAATCATATTAATTTTCTCAATCCACATAATATCATCTAAAATTTTATTAAAATTCAAATCTTTTCAAATTCTAAAATTTTAGTTTTAATACACCCCCTTAATACATATACTCCCAGTAAAAATCATTTCTAGATCTATCATTGTTCAGAACCAAACCTTAATAATTTGTTAAACAAAAAAAATCAAGTATTCGATCAAACCAATTTAAACATAGCTCTCATTTGGAGTTGAAGTCCTCGTTTTCCATTTTGTATTTGTGTTTTGACTTTTGAGTGTCGTAATTAGAATAGAACACTTCGGCAATGAAACCACACAAACATAACCCTAATTCAACCTTTGTCTTTCTTCTTCCTATATTAGCCACACAAACGTACCTTTCATGTTTCATGCTAAAACTCAACAAAAACTCAAATTCTATAGTTCCCACAAATATTCCACAACCACTGTTGTCTCTTTCTTCCAGCACACGCCACTATGATACCACCCAAAATTAAGAGGCTTGCATTTAATTTTCCTTTATTTCTTCAAATGTGAAATTGCATTTATTCTACTTACTTTGTGGATTGATACCAATTTGTTTTTACAAGTGATTAAACCTTGCATTTGCGGTTTTGTCAATGAGTTTAAAACTTTTACACATCAATGTCTTGATCTTGGGCCTTCATCGCTCGTTTCTTCAGTTTTCTTCGATAAACCACAAGTTTGAACTTATCATGTTAACTTATCAAAGACGTGATAGCCTCTAGAGATGTCTACAACATGGAAAAATAAGAAATTCAAGCATGAGTCTGTGTTGAAAGTGGCAAATCGAGTCAAATGAGACTATAGGCCTGAATCAGAAGATAAAGAAAAATGATCTAATACAGACAGATTCTTAAACTCGTTTTCTAACTTAATTTGATAAATATGACCCTCTTAAAAAAAAAGAAAAATACAATTACAAAAAATGTTATAAAAGCTATCTAACATGTATTGATATGACATAAAGAAACACAGATTCAAACTAAAATATGCACGAAAGAGAGAGAAATTGACTCTGGAATCTTTGTTGTGGACACTTCCTGTGCAGATGTTCTTCCAAAAAGCTCTATACTCTCTCTTCATATATATTTGAAGCTTCTCAGCCTGCATTCAAACACGTGCTCAATGACTACTTATCAACAGATACTAACTAACTCTAACAATCTAACCGTCCGTCTCAATTGCTATAATTGTAGAATAGCTTTGTTTTTGTAGATACTATGAAGCAATGACCACTTATTCTTAAAGACTAGAAGAAGTGTCTAGTGGATCAATACACTTTTTAAAAGATTGAAATTATTGCCTCCAAATAAAAATTCTAAGAATAAAATAGGGATAATAAATTCAATCCATTAGTTATGGGGGAATTGCTTCTCACTGTAATTAAAAAGTGTTCAAATAGCATTTTATAATTATTGTGGGGTATTTTAAATTGTGATTGGATCAATATATATATTTTTCCAATAACTTCCATTGGAATATGATTTTTTTTTGGTAATTAAATATGATTATACATTATTTAGAATGATAAATAAACTACATTTTCCTGTATTATATAAATAAATATTTTACGATTGTGCAAAATACCAATCAAACTTTAATACATATGTTTCGAGATCTATCATTGGTCAGAACCAAACTCTAATAAGCTGTTAAACAAAATCAAGTATCCGATCAAACCATAAACATAAACATAAACATTGGGAGTTGAAGTCCTCATTTCCCATTTTGTATCTGTGTTTTGATTGTCATAATTAGAACAGAACAATTTGGCAATGGAATCACACAAACATAACCCTGATTCAACCTTTGTGTTTCTTCTTCCTATGTTAGCCTAATTCAACCTTTGTCTTTCTTCTTCATTTTGTATGTGTTTTGTTAAGCACACTATGAACATAGTCAATAGATGAACATGAAGAATATAAGTTCCTAATTCAAATCCCTCTTGACAGTTAGGTTGAGGATGAATCGTTTCGACTGTCAAGATCATTAATCATTCGTACTTGAGTAAGATGCAGGAGAAGTATTTATTATACACATGTTAGAAGAGAAATGCGCACATTTCCTAAAAGGCTTTTTCTAGCAATAACCTAAGCCCATCAAGACCAGGAAGACCGCGCCGGCCTAGCTTAGAAAAAGGAAAACCTTTAGAGATAATCTTTAAAATTCGGAAGCATCAGATCAACTCAAAGGATAAAGGAAAATTTCCATATTCTTCGAAGAACAAGAGATATTTTCATATCGCAAATATGAAAATATTGACAAAAGGAGAAAATAAAAAGGAGTTCGGAGCAACCGACCTCCTATTCCTATAAATAAGGAGACCCCGAAGCACAAGAGGACCAACTGATACAATCTAGAGAGCAGCATAGCTAAAACCAAAAACTCCAACGCTTTCTAGTTACCTTCGCAAACACTTTCTTTTACTTCGGCATAACCTTTCGGTTAAGCCATCTCTTGTAATCGCTTCATCTTTGAGCTATCAATAAAGATCTTACTCTCCAAAACCCACAACTGCTAATCAAAATCTTAGTGGTGATTTTCTGGTTCAACAGTTGGCACCGTCTGTGGGGACTATGAGAATAAATTCTTAAAACTAAACAACAGAAGATCCGAAGCGATGAGCCTTCCGGCCGACAGCAGCGACCTCACCCTCAACGTGGAAAACACCACCACGCGTACTGATACGCCTGTTTTCGACGAGCACGACAACCCTACCACCGCGATCCCACCACCCGCAAGAGCACCTCTGGCTCCTGTCCTTGCAGGCGACCTCGCTGCAGCAATTCAAACTGCCTTACTACCACTCACACAAAACCTGGTGTCCAAGCTAGACACCCTTCAGGCCCAGCAAGCCAAGTATGATGAGCAACTCATCACCTTAGCGGCTGCGACTACCGCAAGGTCGGAACTGCTTGGACGACGCTTGGTCTTCGAAACGCCGGAGCACGGTAACACCCGAGGCGCAGCAGCGACTAATGAGGAACCAACCGACGAACTGAATTCCAAGATCGCAAGATTACATCAGCGAATTAACGCAATTGGATCTCAAGTGCACCGTGCCACCAGTTCGGCACCCGAGATCTCGGCAATTCTGTCGGACACCGAATGCAACCCGTTTGTTTCGCGGATCACCGACGTCCATCTCGGCGCGGTGATCAAACTAAAACTCCCATACTACAACGGAACAGAAAACCCAAACCTATGGCTGACCGGTTTCAACGTCGCCATGAAGAGGCAACGGTTCAAAACGACCTCGAACGCGAAGCTAATCACTGTCAGACATTCGTAGAGCACCTCATCAAGGACGCTCTCAAGTGGTTCTCTAATCTCCCAGCAGCGTCGATCAAATCCTTCAAGAATCTATCCCACACTTTTATAAAGCACTACTCCATGTTCATCACAAAGAGGACGATCAACCTTTTCACCCTGATACATGAGCCCGACCAACCCCTCCGGGATTTCATCGAAAAACTCAAAGACGCCGCTGCAGCGTACAGCCAGATCCCGCAAGCTTTGACCATCGAGGCACTCATGAACGATCTATGGTTCAAATCCTCTTTCAAAGAAGATTTGCAGAAGAAACCGAATGACACCATAGAAGACGCACTCCACCAAGCTCAAACTTTCATATGAATGG